TGAAGTAACTGTGGGATTTAAAACCCAGACATTTGGCTCAACCTCCACCTTTTCATCTCTGTGCCCTATTAAGTAAAACTAGGTTTACACCCTTGCAATGAGGCCCTGTGCACTTTTCCCCAAACTATAACAATGCAATCTCCATTTTGAAAAATGCTCCTCATTTCCCTCCTTGGAAAGCTCATTTTGTCTTAAAGACACTAAATGCTGATTTCAGTTGTATTCTGATTTTGAGAACTTACAAATTTCCAATGTTTATGGCTTTTTTAGGCCACTTGAAGTTGCATGTGCTCCTTTTCAACATCAAGTTACATTTGCAAGCACAAGCCATCCTTTGCTGCATATATTCAAAATGACCCCTTTGCAAGGCACGCATCTCATTTCCCTTGTTTCTATATAGTAAGTGAACGCTCCATACACTCCTGACGTTGTTTGCAACACGTTCTGGTGTACCATGCAGTTCTGCAGCAGTCAGAATCTCCATGCATATTTGCAAAGCGCCCCTGGTTCCAGCATGTACTTCCTTCCTTCCCTCCCCTCACTGCGTTTGTAAGCACATTCTAATGCCCCCCGCACCTGTGGGGCTGCCAGGAGTTAAGCTGCATACCCCTCACCCCTGTGAGTGCTTGAGGGCATCCCTTACGTACAAGGATGGGAGGAAGAATGCATGCGGATTGGACTTGCAAACCTAGAGGGAGTGTGTGTGCTGCCCTGGGCTGGTGCGATTTATCCCGCTGGCTCTCTACCTGGGGTGCTGCTGTAGGTGCTGTGGCTCCTGAAGCTGCTCTCAGTGCAATAACTGGCATCGTCTTCATCCTCCATCTCTTCGGGGTAGTCAGAGTCGTCGTCGTCCTCCTCCTCCATGATCTCCTCCTCCTCTTCCTCCTCAGAGTCCTGGTTATCCTCGGGGTCTGCCTCCTCTTCCTCGTCGGACACCATGCTCTCCTCCTCCTCTTCGCTCTCATGATCATCGTACACCACTTTGCTGATGCTCCTCCTGGACGAGGCAGCCCTGCCTTGGCTGTTGCAGCTGCCTCCTCCGCCTCCTCCCCCTGCTCCTCCAGCCCCGGCCCTGCCCCTACCCTTACCGCCGCTGCCTCCCCCACCAGGGGTGCTGCTGCTGCCGCTGCCTCCCTTCCTCTTGCTGCCCCCCCTGGGGGAGACGGCGGCGGAGGAAGAGGCCTGGGCAGCCCCGGCCCCCTTCTGCTTGGGCCCCGCCGCCGTCTCCGCCTGGGCCGAGCTCGCCCACCTGCCGCGGCTGCTGCCCCGCTGCCGGGACCTCAGCCCCCCGATGGGGCCCGCCGCGGAGGGCGGAGCCGGGGAGCTCGCCTGAGCGGTGCCCGCCGCCGGCTGCTGCTGCTTGGGCGGCCTGCCTCGCCGGCCCCGCATCTCTGGGCGCTGGCCGAGAGGGGGAAGGGAGGGGAAAGGAAGGCTCGGGAGGGCGCTCGGAGTCCGGACAGGCGGCTACGGGGAAGCTCCCCCCCCTGCGAGGGATCCGGGCCGGGGAGGGGGGCCGCCGAGCTGTGAGGGCCGAGGGCTCAATCCGAATTGCCGGCGTCCCGCTCCGGATCGCCACCGGCCGCCATCTTGTTTCTTCGTCTCTGCCTCGGCTCGCTCCGCTCTGACTGGGGGAAGCGGCGGCGGCAGCAGGCCCCGAGCGCCTCACGTGACCGGCCGCGCCCGCCAGCCGCCGCCAGGGGGCGCAGCAGCCGCCGGCCGCGAGAGCCATGTTGGAGCCGGCGCTCGGGGGCGGCCCCGCGCTCGGACGAGGGGTATCCCCGCTGCACGCGCTGCCCCCCGCCGCTCCCTCGGCGCCCCGTTTGCCGCCGTCCCCTCACGCCGGGACGGAGCCCTCCGACCCGCAGCCGCCTTCACGCGGCGCTGTCACGGCACGCCGCCCACCGCGAAGTTGCCCTCAGCCCCGGTGCCGGGCGCTCCGAGGGCTCTCCGCCCCTCTCCCCGACCCCCAGCTGAAGTTGCCCCGAAGCCGCTGCCCCGCTTGGAGGCGGCTGCGAGCCCACCTCAGACTCACCGTCTCCCTGCGCCTGGATAAAGACGCCCGTTACCGGTCCTCGATCCCAGGGCTCGCCTCGCGCCCTCAGGGGAGTCCCCTCGCTCCGCGTCCCACAGCTTCAGCCCGGCTGCGCGTCCCGCCCGAGTCAGCTGCGAGCGCAGGTAGGCAACGGGCTGCGACCGCCGCTGCGGCCTGAGGGGCTCAGCCGCTCCCGCCGCCGTCCTCAGGGCGGGCTGCCCCCCGGCGGGCTCCCCTCAGGCGGGCTCCCCCCCCGCACCGCGCCGGCAGCCTTCCTCAGCCCAAACACCCATGTCCCATATTAGGATCCGGACTTTAAATCTTCCCCCTTCACGCAGAAATGAATACGCTTTTACAGCTCACCACATTACCTTGCTGGGATCACTGTAAAGAAAAATAAGGCTGAAAAGACCTCATGGGGACCCGCTCTTTGAATTTTAGTCAGTGGCTGAACTGCTGTGTGTGTTCACTACAAAATGGAGCCAGGCTTCATTTAGTTTGTATTCCCTCATTTTCACATTTGCCTGAGCCTCCAGGGTTTTAAAAATCCAGAGACCAACTGTTCTGTTAGGCTTCTAATGCCACCACTTCAGTTGAAAGTATCAGTTCCCTTACCAAAAGCAGGATAAAACAAAAAACAAAAAAGCAGCCCAAGGCCTGTCAGCATCTCTCAATACCTACAATTGGCCTTTTTGCTAAATCTACAGAAGCTTGTTATCCCAGAAAGTCTAGTCTTCTCTTCAGCAAATAAGCACGTTCAGATTGTCATTTTCTCTTGGTATTTTGCTTGTGTTTTTGTGTAATACAAACAACTCAATACTGATCAATCATACTGTAAGCATACCAGTTTTATATCCAATGTGTAATTTGAATTGCATTCTTCTACACTAATACATGAGGCATCTTTTCTTCATTAACTTGTTGCTCAGGCTGAGAACCTCATTAAACCCACAAATATGCTACAGCATAAGGACTGTAACAACTGCACCAGACAGTGGGGCTAAACAATTTGCACTCTTGCATCCAGCTTTCTACCTTCATCTCTTATATTAAGTTGTACTCATATATTCAGTAATGCAGCTGCAGAGTATAGAGCCATGTTTTAGACAGTACCCTTCAGCCACAGTAAAAGCAGCAGAGAACACTGCCTAACCTCATTCATACCTTTATACTCAATTTTTATTTTGAATAATCCAACTTTACTCCTGAGATTGGTTCAACTGGGTCAGTTTTTAAGATCTTATGCTCGCAAAAGACTATAGCAATTCTACAAACATAAGAATACATTGATACACAGAAGGGGGGAAGTTGTTTTACTGTCTCCCATTGTGAAACACATCTGTGAGTTCTGCCACCTATACAGGGTGAGTCAAGAAATACTTTGTTGCGTATGTACTGCACAAATCCACCTACAGCCTATAGCACTACAAGCATTAACATCTATAAAACGGTGAGGATTCTGTGTATCTGTAGTAGACCAAAGGGACCAAGTAACATTTACTGTAAACCAGAACACTGTGTCTCTTAATGATGTCTTATTTATTAGTTGTGATCTAGAAGTGCTTAATATTCTGTTTAGTAAAGAATTCTAGAGCTGGAGAAACGGTTGCATGGAGAGGTATGCTAACTTTCAGAGTAAGGACTATAAAAAAATCCTTTTCGAGTCTGTTGGTATAATTAAAAAAGCATATTTCTCAGTGAGTAGAAACACCAAAGGAAGAGGAATTTTACAAATGATACTCTATACTGCATCTATTCTTGAGACAGATGAGGAGAAACAGGTTCTCTCAAAAGGTACATAGGAGAAGATGTACAGCCTAGTTGTTCCAGGCTGGTAGTTAGGTGAGTTCCTTTCTCCAAGGGTAAAGGAAAGAACTTAAGAATTTACAGCTAGAAGGCATGGCTTCAACCAACTCAGCAAATCCTCTTGTTTAAATTATTGAGCTGCTTTTCTCCATTCTTCTTCCTCCAAATCACTCTGTAAAAGGTGCTGAATTTAAGTATTCTGTTCTAGAGTCAGTTACACGTGCATTTATCAGACACCAAGTTGTTGCTATGTGAGGTAAAGACTAGAGCTCACTGCAGACTAAAGTCAGCGTGAGGAAGCAAGGGCTTATGACTTCTGCTGATGTAATTCAAATTATCAACTACCATTTTATTTATTATGATGAAAAATATAAAGCATATCAATATGCTGAAACATTAATATTCACTTAATATTATTTTAAAAGGTCATTAAGATTTTACCTGTTATTCTGAACAGTTATTGATGTACTCATTTTTCTCTGGAGGCTTTTGCTTCTTACATTCATTTTATATTAAATCTTAAAAGATCTAGCATTATGCTTATCTGCCATATCTCCCTTGCATCTCTGATCAGCTTTCATTTAGATAGACCTTTTGTCCAACAAGTAGCTTATAACAAATCAGTTTCAAGAGAGTGCAGAAGACACTGCTTATATCTGCAATACCTTCAGCCATCCTTGCATTCAGAAAGCTACGACATTTTGGAATGCTAGAATTTAAGCTGTACAGAACAAGCAGCATGAATGAGGTTAACTTGAGATGTTCACTCTGAAAAAGTACTTAAAAGAAATGGACAAGAACGTAGGAAAAATGTTCTTAGTTTGGTGGTAAGTGTTCTTGTTCAGAAAATAACAAATGTGAATGTGTATGTATGTATATAGAATAAAATCAACTTAAAAATAGAAAACAAAAGAAACAAACTCAAATGAGCATCTATAGTTCCTAACCAGAGCAAAGATCAGAGAGCTCTGAAGAATCTGAGAATTCAACTGCCTGTAAGTGAAAAAGAAGCAAGTGGAACAGAAGTGACAATTAATTTGATGAAACATTTCTTGAAACCTTTTTACAGATATCCTATCACTTCTTGGCCAAGAATCAGATAGAATTTTAGAATATTCTTGCAACTGCATAACAAAATTACAACGAAAATATAAGAAAGTCATCCAGTCAGAAAAGAGCTTTTAATGCACAACCCCCCACGTAGATACTGAGTAACTGCATTCTCCCTGTGCAGAAAACTCAACTTTTCACATCCCCAATATGGAGTGCTAATACATCCTTGTCATAAAAGGAATTAATAACAAGTTTGTTAATAATTCATTTCGTATTCAAATAAGTTCCAGCACTTCAATAGAATATGCCTGAGAGTCTTTCTGGCATTTAATTCTTTGCAGTTCTTGCAAACTTCCTTCGATTTTGTTAAGTTCAGAGTAGAATCGTACCTAAAAACAAAGACCATACATTTATGACAAAACAAATTTTAAATCTTCTACACAATTTATACCATGTAGCTGTTTGCTGTCTTACACAGTTTAATACATTCAAACAAAACCAATGCAGCACCTTTAGGGATCAAGGTGATGAAAACAAGCAAATACTATGTAGTGTTCAGGAATAGGCTTATGGCACTGAATATATTTTAATATACGCTGTATATTTACATGTGTTGTTCTTCTCCAGCCCTGCCCTGAGTAACCTTAATGGCCATATTTTAACTCAATACTACAATGAAATAATTATGCAAAACTTACTTGGGCTCTCACAAACTTATGCATGCTTGAAAGCAATCTTTTTGCTTCTGGTAGCATCACCATAACTGTGAAGTGAGCATCAAGTAATAGGCACATCCAATCCATAATCTGAACAAAAAAACAAAACAGAAGTGACGTGGGTTTTGTTTCAAAAACACTGAAATATTATCTCCTAATAAAAAAGAATGGCTTCATAGTTTAATGCAGGATATTTATTTTCAGATAGAAAAGAAAGCATCATGATACATCTGACTCAATATAGGTCCACTAATAAACAGTACCTTACAGAACTAACATAAGTTTCAGTTGATTTTAAAGAAACTGAAGGAGGCCCAACTTTTTAGCACTAGTTGCTTACCTGACTTATAGTTGGAGAGAGTACTCCGGGAAGAGTTGTATTTATTTTTTCACTGCATTTCACATACAGGTAGTGTAAATACCTGAGAAACAGCTGAGAGAAGAAAAGACTGAATGTTTTGTAAGAAGAAACATTTAAGACCTAGGAGATTTGCCCTGCACAAGGCAGTAACACACAATGATAATCTTTTATTTTTTTCTTTAATTAGGAAATTCAAGCATTAAAAATAAGTATCATGGCTCTCTTCCACCATCTATAGCCATGAATTTGAAAATTCAGGAATACTCAGTGTAAAGTGACATTCTGTGGTAGGCATTGTTCCAGTGTTAGTGCCAGGTGCACTTTCAGCACAAGTCCTACATTTTTTTTGTCTCCAGAATAAGACGAGGAGATCAGTCAGTGTTGACTGTGTGGTGTTTCATGTTGGGTTGTTGTTTTTTTTTTGTCCTGGTTTTAATTGCATTTTCTAAATTTCTGTTTTTAACACATCTGACTAAGTTAATATCTCAGTAGTTTAAAAGCATTTAAAAATCAGGAATAGGTACTACACCATTAAAATATTTTTTGTCTAGTCATAATCAAGTTTTCTTTCTTTACATTTATGCAGACCATAAGAAATAGTACGTGTTCATTTGGAATATACGGAACACTTAACAGCATTAGATCTTATTAGTCATGTTATTTTCATACACTAGTGGCAAGTTTCTGATAGATTAAACACCTTTTTCTTTTCTTTCCCCAAATAATGAGGACATTTCAGCTTTTTTTGTTTCAAAATACTTACAACAGCTTGCTGAGCTGGAAGGTCTTTCAGATGAGGCAAAAGAAATGTTTCACTATAAGCTGAATGAAGAACAGCATTTCTGTGCAATGTTATTGAGGAAATGTTACTGCAGGAAAAATGCTAGTTACTACAAACTAAAACCAACCTTAATTAAAATATTTCTGTAAGTTGAGAGGTCTTTTTGAATCTCCTATTTCTATTATGAAATATATACAGCAACTGAAACATAATAGTCAGTTTGAACACAGTTCCATTTACTGCAAGAAAGGAACCATCTAACATTTCAATGGACAAACATCAAAAGCATTGAGACTAAATTGTCTTGAACAAAGTTCCAGTCTACACTTCTATAAATTTAAATAAGTATAAAGAAATTTTCAGCAATAGCAGAAGATCATTTTCAGCAATGCTAAACAGACATTCAAATCATAAATACCACACTGACTTTCCTTCATTTAAGCACACAGAGGATACAATAATGCTGCCTTTTGAGGTCCAACAGGGCAGAATTCAACACTGTCCATCATATGGGTTTCCTTCATGCCTGTAACATCACAGCCATCTTCTTCCAGTTCAGTACTGAAACCATTTTCTACAACTTCAGTCTTAACTTCTTTATTGTTTGGTTCAATATCAATGTAAGAGATTACAGATTCTAGATCCACGTCTGTTCTTTCCAGATAATCATCACTAATGCTATAGAAGAAAAATTCCACACACATTTAGTGTTTTTAGTGTTAGCTTGAAAACAAACAAACAAAAAATGCCCAGCAATGTCATCAACCCCACAGCAACACACACTGACTCTTTGAAGCTTATGAGTATGAAAACACACCAAAATATGAGAGTTTCAGAATGGATAGAGGCCATGAGAAAACAGCTAGCATTTACTATTAACTTGAACAACGTATGTTTTTGCTCAAGTATTTCAACAATGTAAATTGCTGTTTTACTAGATCATAGTAATATTATCATATTGTCATATCAATATCGTCATAGGCTTATTTAAAGGTTATACACACACTCTGTTCAAGTCTGTCATTGTATTCTGACATTGCTGGGACTACCTCAACCTATAAGACAGCTACGGTTTTCCTACTGCTCAGTAATAAATATTTGGTATTTCTAATGCAGGAGACGAACAAGTCTGTTGAACAGTAAACAGGCACTATGTAAAAGGATGTAAAAGCCAGCAAGTTTACCAAAAGGCATTTTTCTTTAATTATTGCTTATACAAGTTTTAGAATACGTGCACGCAATGGGCATCTTGTAAAAAAGCATGTCAGTCTGCAGGACTGCAATACACACTGTACTCAGAATTAATAATTTCATGCACTTAATTACTCATCTAAAAACTTACTTTAAGTAAAAGTCTTGGTTTGGTGAAGAATAAATAAGTAATTAAACAAAAATAATGTATAAAGACTGACTCCAACTTACCTTAAAAATACTTTCAAGCAAGCGTAAGTAATTTCTTCAGGAATATCTGGAAACCGTTGTAAGCAGATTTGTAAGAGATGTACATCTTTTTTCTCTAAAGCAACAGCCATTAAGTCTGGACACAAACTGTTAGAATATGAAAAGAATAGGCTGCAGAGTTCACACTCACTGAAAACTCCATTAACAAAGAATGCAGAAGGATTAATCTTGTTTTACACAAAAATCCATCTGAGAATTGTCAGCTTCATCAGAAAATAAGCAATAGACTTCAAAGGAAACCAAATATAAGCACCTGATAAATCAAGGAGATTTATTTTTTTTTTTAATGAAGAACTGAATTTCTACTTTTTAGAAACTTTTGCTTACAATTTTAAACAAAAAAAAAAGAAAAAAATCAGAATTATCACCTGTAGGATAACTCTCGTTTTTGGATCATCTGTACCAGGAAGTTTCGAGGGTAGAACATTGGATCTGCTTTACACCTGTTTATTAGAGCGCTTATTACACATCCAATGGCAGCCTGAAAATCTGGTCTCTGTGCTTTTGACAACAATTGTCTCAATTCATCTTCAACTGCAGCTGTGGAAGCATCCTGAAAATGAGAAATACCATGCAGTTCAGATGTACAAGGCATAGGTTTGAGAACTGTTCACAGAGGAAGGCAGTAGATCAAAGTATTACAACACTTGCAACAAGATTTCAAAAGGAACTATATCAGAATACAGATACAGTTACCATATCTTTTGTATCACCATGATGTTTATTTTCAAGGTCGGGTTGGATGCAACATTGAGCAACCTCATCAAGTGAGGAGTGCCTCTGCCCAGGGCAGGAGGTTGAATTAGGTGGTCTTTTGAGGTCCTGTCCAACACAAACCATTCTATGGTATCCTGGGATTCACTTCAATGCTGACTCATCAAATAATATACTGAGCTAAGTGACCAAATGGGTAGGCAAGTACATTCTCTGACTTGTTTTGGAAATAAGTTAAATGTTATCTTCTGAAAACATTAAAGATGCGTAATTAAGTGACAAATAATCTACAAATAGCAACTCACGGCACCTTTTTTCTAGCACTGTGATTTACTAGATCCAAAATATTGTCGAAGTTAAAACTAAAGAAAAGACTAAAAGACTAAAAAAAAAGTAAAAAGATTAAAAAAAAAATCAGATGAAACATCTTCTCACCTTTTTTACTGCATGAAAATGCATTTGTGCAAGTTCTCAGAATTCAGACAGCTGTTATAAACCCCATTATTGAACAGCTATATTACATCTTCCTATGACAAAACTTCACCATGCCCAAAACCTATTTTTACACAGTAAAACAGAATCCTCAACAAACCTGTTTAAGGCAGCTTCTTCAGCTTGATCTACACAAGAGGAAATGTGAGAAGATAACAGCTTAGGAGGTGCCTGGAATATTCTCAAGTGTGACTGAAAATTCAGTAAGGCTACTTGGCGTACTTACTTTTATACTTAGTAAGAACTGCCCAATTGTGGAGGCATCTGGCTGTATGTCCTCAACTGCGCTCTTTTTTGATCTTAACTATAATAAAGAAAAACAAGTTATTATTCAGCTCCAAAAAGGCAATTCAAGGATTTCAAGCAAGATAACTAGGAACATTGTGTGTTGTTTGCTACAAATTACGTTTAAAAGTAGCAGCATTGGGAAGAGACAAATACAAAACAAAAGAGCTCAACATTCGTTGTGTTAACTTACCATCATTTTGGATTCAGACTTTAGAGCTACAGACTGCTGTGACTGACAGGAAACCAACAGCTCTTCATCTCCAAGAGTATTCCAGTTTACAAATGAAGAAAGATCTGTGAAGACAAAAATAAAACTACATGAAGTTAGCACTTAATGCCACTTATTAGAAACTTCTGATACCAAGATGCATCTTCTGAAGTGTAATACATTTTTTGCAAAGAAACTTCCCTGTTTTCTTTCATCGGCAAGTGGTTTGGATACATTTTGCGTGTTTTCCCTTTTTAGTCTCTGGTAGGAGGAGAAAAGTTATTCCACAACTTATAGCAAACATCATTTGCCATTTTCCCACTACAGTGCTAAGCATACATGCTCGCTTGTATTTTCTTTAACCTAAAGTTTACAAACTTAGGTTTGGTACTGCCCATTTAGTAATAAGTGCTTTGAAAACACAACATAAAAGACTGTGCTTTAGTTGTTTCAGTGTTTATACCAGCATCTCAGTCTTTTCAATAATTGCAGCATTTGAATGACACTTCAATGAAGACCATAAATACAAACATTTGTACGCTTCAAATTCTCTGATGTTCTCACTGAGAACACTAACATTTAACAGTGGAATGCACTAACTTACTTCAAGCTGTTTAGGCTTAACTGATTTTATACAACAATATTAAAACAATTTTAATGCAATTTCAGAAGTTTTCCTGCTAGATCTCACTGCAATCAGAAAACTTCTTACCAGAGGTCTGACTGTCCTTCAGCTTCCCCACAGCAGCTGCCAAGGATGAAGTTTCACACTTGTATATAACTACTGTTAGCACTTTTCCATGAGTGAAGAAAAATTTTTCCCCATAACACCACAACTACAAAATATTAAACACATCATTAATAAGGAGTGAAGCAGAGAGACATTTCTGCACATGCTAATCTTTAATTTCCGACTACAAAATTCAACTGGAAGTCAGCAATCAGATGATTTTAGCAGTTATTTTCGGTAGTTTTTCACACATTAGCAGACCTTCATTGACTGTTGATTTTATCTATGGAAATGATTGCACTGTTGAATATTTTCCAAGGATGCATTAAACTGAAGTGACTGCTTTGAGGCACTTAAGTTCACTTGATTTTTTTTATTATTATTATTTTTAAAATTCCTTCCCGCATAATTTTATGACAAAAATGAGTCAACCGTTCTATTTAACTAGGGTATTTATTAATTAGGTTCCAGTTCACTTATTATTGACAGCTGAATATTCTGAACCATGGTCACTTGCAAGCTTTCAGAATGTAATAAATACCAACTGAGGATTTCATTCTCACCAAACAAGGCTAACAAAAGTCAGAAGTGCTGAATTACTAAGGATTTTGCTAAAGGCTACCGTGCTCCTGTTTAGAGATGATGACAAAAATAGGTCATCAGCTGGCCGGTATTAGTTTTGTTTCAGAAGTTGACATTTACTGCTCTTCCACACAGAACCATGATTGCAGTTTGCTTGTCTCCTTTCTATTGTGCCATATGCACTAAATGAAGGTTTATAAGCTACAAAGTAAAGACTGAACTCACTTGTCCACTGGTACCCAGGGGCAGTTCCTTTGAAGCTTGTAACGTTTGAAATTTTGTATTCCATATTGTTAGGCACTCTAGGAAAAATAAAGAGATAAATGTGACAAACCCAAAAGCAACAAAAAATACTATATTTTCATTTGTTATTTTCAGTTAAAAACACTTCAGGAAATACAAGTAACTTTCAAAATAACTCCGCTTAATAAGGTGCTCAGCATTGGGCAATGTGTCTTTTTGGTCAGGTCTCTCAATAAACAAGTCTGAAAATCAGCTCTCTTGGAAGAGCACTGAAGAAAAAGCTGCAATGAGATCAACCAAAATCTCTGTAACTTTCAGTCATAAAATGCTATGTTCAGTGGCTTAACCTTCAGCAATCCCACATCTCAGAAGTTTAGTCATGAAACAAGTATTTAAGATACTATTTTCTTATAGTAGATGAGGTCCATTACCCTGCATACACCAGTTTTAAGAGCCAACCATTTCATTTAATATGCAGTATTTATGATATTCACTGAAGAAGAAACAGCAGTGTTCTTTATTCATCTGCTCTGTTAATCAAAAACAACCAAGAACAAAAAGCAAGACACAAAACATCTGCTGCTTTAAGAGTGTTGTAGAACTTCAGACACATTCATCTGATTTTTCCAGTTACCTTTGGATTCTTCACCAGATGCTGCTAGACTTCCTAGTACTGCAACATGGTCTTTATCAAGAACAACAAAAGAAGTTCCTTTTAGAACACTTCCAGATATTGAAAGGTTTAGTAGTAGTGATTTGGATAGAGTTTGCTCTTCCTCTTCACTATTTTGCTGTAGAGGTATCAGAACTTTATATACAGAGTTACTGGAGTCTGTCAAAGCAAACAAATGATGTCTTTATGTCTGACATTAAGAAAAACTATTTAATACAATATGGCAAGATGAGCACTGAGAAAAGAAGTAAAATAGGACACTTAAAGGGCACATTATCATGCAAAGCAGAAAAATAAAAAGCACAGCTTTCAGGAACTTTTAAAAATACAAGTTATAATGTTGAAGAACAGTAAGCCTTTTCAACCATTAAAATATCAGGAAAATTTAACTGTTTAGTCTATCATTTGCTGTTATAGGACATTCAACAAAGAGCAAAAACATTAAACAGTAATTCACAGACATCAGTATTTTATGTCCTTCTATGTAATTTATTGTTTTAATATTAAAAAAACATTAGAAAATTCAACTCACATAAACATAGAAGTGTGATAATTTGCTTTTTTATATATGCTGTGAAACACAGTGGATTAGATAATTCCTGTTGTTCAAGCTTATATTTGCACAGACTCCTCATCTTAAGTTTCTGTATGTAGACAAAAAAATCCCCATCCTAAAACAAAAAGAAGATTGTCTTTAACTGACAGAAAGAAGGGTTAACAAGTTCAGATATTTCTACCAAATTATATTGAATGCTTAACAAGATTAGGAATTTGTATTTACTATATATAGTTGTCTTCAGCTGCAAGTTGTAAAGAAAATTTTAATTTGATGCAACAAATAGATTCACAGGAAGTAACATCTGCATGAAGAGAGAAATGAAGTCAATTGATTGTATATTGTATTTAATCTTGTTCTGAACTTCAAGAGCCAGGCTATCCAGCCCTGAGAACAGTGTAAGTGTTGTGCCACAGACAACACACACACAGAATAATTATTTCACTAAACGCTCTTAGAATCCAGTTAAACAAGCGATGGATTTTAGAAGAAGGATTTAGATTTGCAGTTGTGGAAGTTAAACATTTGTTACACTTACTTTCTCTGTAACGAAAATTAAGACAGGTTGTTGACCTTCCAGAAATGCTTCACTCCATCTAAAAACAGAAAAATGTACAAACATTTTCTAAATTCTGGGACTACATTTAAAAATCATATCATAATTATTCAGGCAGCCTCTTACTTTTAGATCTGTACTAAAAGTCTAAGGTTTTAAAAATCAATGCATTAAAAAAATAAAATAATCATCATCATCAAGATCTTGATCTTGTGATGTTAGTCTTAAGATTTCCTCTCTCCTCACAAAGAAGGGTGCACCAACGTGAGTTCCTCTGATCAAGGATCAGGATTCATAACTTTGTATCACTTACTTGATAACTTCATCTGAGATAACATTTTCAATTTCTTGTTGTGGAGCTTCCAAAAGAACATCTAAAGTTCGAACACCCCCTCCTCTAAATAACACCAATGGCTCCGCATGGGGCAGTGAATGTATTCTGTACACCTCAGCTGAAAGCTAAGAAGAAAAGAAATTGTTTAAGTTCTATGTTCATTAGCATTACCTTGAAAGCCAACTGTTTTGCGTAACATTTTTAAAAAGTTATCTCAGTAAATGAGTAACGTAAGGATGATGGACCTGCAAGATACCAAAAATATGCTTATTTTCTGAAGTGCTACTAGTAATGCAAATCACTACCCAACAGAAAGCCAGGAAAGCATCCTAAATGAGCATCCTAAATGAGCATGACATCAGAAAAAAAGTGTAATTGAGGTAAAGGAGCTCAAACAACTGTTATACACCATTACACACAAAGTGCTGTTTATCGTGTTCACCAGCAGAACAGAAAATAATTGTCCTTCACCATGGTTCACAATCATAAAAGTCCTTTCAAATGTTGGACAGCCATCACTTTATGTGTGGTGCTTTGATGATTAAGCCTATCAACTGAAGTGGATTCCTTGCAATGCTCCATAACATCACAAACCACAAATCAAGACAACTATCAGCTACACTGTAATGCTATCAGTATTATAAACGTCAGCATCTCTTCAACCCCATGAGATTCAAAGTGTTAAAAGTGAACATACGTAAGAGACTTACTGTTGCTTTAAATACTTTGTCTAGGTTAACATCTTTATCCTTCCATATTCGTAAAACCTTAAAGAGAAACATCATTTTTTAAGCAGCAAACCAGCAGCATGTAGACTTCTTATCACATAACAGCAATTGCACCTTACTGAAAAATTGAGGAACACATACAGTTAAGTATTCAAGCAGCCTTACTGAAAAAAGACAGGAAGTTTGCATGGGAAGAAGCTGAAACAGAAACCACAAGAATACAAATAAAGCTTAACATTTTGATCTTGAAAGAAGGGATAAGTAAGAGTACGGCTAAGAAAAAAGAGACAGCAAAACTCTAAATGAAAGTTGATCAAAGCAATGGAGGCAGATTAAGATACAGATGGTCTGATCTGGAGGGAACATTTCAAGGTCAAGAAGAATATTTCATTAACAATAAAAAAGCCAAGTGATCAGTATGTGCTGAGCAAACATTGCCATATATACACAAGCAGGAAATGTTTAACCATAAGACAAGAGTAGATAGACAAGGATGCAGTTCTGAACCATTTCAACATAATAATCATGCAGTTCTAAATCTCTACCACTCTGTAACAAGAAAAGTAGCTTATCTTAGTGAACGTGTGCATGAGGCATTCGTCATTGAGAATGCTTCAGTTTTTAAAACAGCCACTGCGTAACTGATGCTCACATAGATGGTTTTCATGTCACTAACAAACGGACTGTGCAGCCTTGAAACTGCACAGCCCAGCATTAAAGCACCATCACCAGCTTTGAAAGCTTGCCATGAGGTGTTGAGAGCTCCACACATTCCCATTAGCTAACAATCTAGCACTCCCAATCTCTTCCCTGCCTATATTCACCCAGATGGCTCACATCATCATTTTTCCCCTTAAGAAAAGAACCTCACCTTGTTATCATGAACAGCTATATATTCATGAGTTTCAAAGTTGCATACAACTGGACACGTGATAATCTGCCCATGTTTAACTGACCAACAGCCCAGTGGCTTCTGATCTGAGACCTAGAAAAATCAGGACAAAGTCATGTAATTAATATGCAACAGTACATGCTGGGATTGCTCCCATGACCAAATGAGAACATAAAAACAAGGAAAGTGCCACCCTAACAGGACTCATAACTCCTGTGTTAGCATTCTTAACTGCAATACGAGTGATTTCAGAGCACAGCTAAGCTCTGTGTTAATTAAAAGCTTTTTTTTTTTTCTTTTCACACGAGGAAGTAGCACTACATACATGACAGGAGCTTACACCATGGGTTCATTAAGATACAACCCCTAGCCCCACGACCACAAACATAGAGACAAACGTTTTCAGAAAGTTTCATTTAATGCTCACTGCAGTAACGTATACATTAAAAGAAACAACAACAACCCGCAGGTCACGTATTGCCAGCACACTTCAATCTCTGTTCTCCACCCAACAGGAAGGCAGCAGACACCAAACTGACAACTGGGCGCAACTGCTGTCACCCGAACGTGATACGGAGACGTGACAACCCCGGGCTGTGAGTACTGCGTGACACGGGAACGGCGAGGAAAAGAACCAGCACAGGAACCACTCGGGGGATCGCCTACGGCCGCCACCACGGGTGCAGAGAGGGCGGGGGGGGGGGAAGCACAGGGGAGCGGGGAGGGAAGCACACAGCGGCCGCTCCCAGCAGCACGGCCCGAAGCGGGGCCGCTGCCCGAGGCCGCTCCCACCACGTTCCGCCGCGGCAGCCCCGGTGCTTCCCCGCGAGGCGCTGCGCGGGTGCTCCGACACGGGCCGGCCCGAGCGGCCGGGGCTGGGCTGTTACCTTAAAAAGCGTAGCCGTCCTGCCGCGGTCGGTGAGCAGGACGTGGTCGGGATCAGCGCCCGGCTCCAGCGCCAGAAGGCCGCTACCGAGGCCGACGCCGCCGGTGGGCCCCAAACCGCACAGCGTGAAGGCCTCGCACAGGGCCGCCATCTTAGCGAGCGCTCGGTTCTCGCGAGACCAGCGGCGGCGCCACACCGCGCCTGCGCGCTACGCCGGCTGGGCGAGGCGGCAGCGCCCCCCTGCGACACGGCGGCGGAAATGGACGAGGCCGCTCGGGAAGTTCCGCTCCGCGGCGATGGGAGCGGACCGGAGCTGCGCCGCTACCGCGGAGGTGCGGGCGAGGCGGCGTTCAGCGTGTATAGAAACAAAGCCGCGGGTTTTACGTATCATAAAAAAACGAAGAGCTGATAATTTTTCACTGTGCCATTTCAAAGTGGACAATTAAGAACATGTAGGATTTTATTTATTCGGCTGTTTCCAATGTATTTCATGTGTGATATTAATCCCAAATATCCCAGTGTGATGCATGAGGCTTCATGGTGCTGGAGAGATGTACACAGGAGTTCAACAAAAGGCTTCCATGGTTTTGCATCTACACAGCAAAGTGCTGCTGGTTTAATTAAAGGTACTTCTGCCGTAGGAAATGTCACATTATAGAAGGGTTTCGTAATGAATGCATTCCTTCTGCAGGAGTACAAACTAACACAACCTGAGGAAGGATCAGCTCCAGGTTTTGGCTGATCTATGATGTATATGTGCACATTAGTCTTTTTTTGTTTGTGTGCAAATTGTGAAAGCCCTAGCAACACAAACCCAACATGCAAAACCCAACCAAAGAAAAGGCAAGACAACAAACACCCACCTCAGGCCCCAGCTGCTGCCTGCTATCAGAGGCCACATGCTGTGAGCACCGCTTTTTGAGGCTGTGCTGCAGACAGACCTCTGTCATGAAGTCCAGCTCTGCCTTCGTCTAGTGGAGAATGGTCACGAGCAACTCGGGGGACAAAAGCAGAGCTGTGTGCAGGCACGGCCCCAGCCTGCTGTTACCAAACCATTCAGTGTTGGACTGTACCTGGATGTTTCCATCCCATCCTGCTGCACAGCCACTGCTGCACCTGTGCATGACAGTCCTGTTTCCATGCCAGGTGTGTTTCATTTATTCCCTTCTGGCAGGACTTTATGGGTCATTACTGACGTCATTACTGCATTCCTGTGTCTGCATTTCTTCAGCTGGTCATGGGAGTCAGAGAACTGCTTCAGGCAGTCCTTCAGCTTGGCTCTCAGTGGTTCCCCAGCTGCAGTGTGGGGCTGGTGGGAGCTCCCAGGATGCCAGCTCCTCGTGGCACCCTGTGCTGTGTGCTAAGCCACTGTGGTGACTCCCAAAGCAGCTGTGGCAACCTGACAGGTTGAAGGGTACACTCTGTGATTTCTACCTTACATGCTTTTTACACAGATTTTCCTTATTTCCACTTCTATACTATTGTGAAACATTTCTATACGAATAAACAAATAAGTCACTTCCCTTGGGGCAGAGAAAACTTGATGTGTATTGAGTAAGCCTTTAGTTGAAAACTTAAAGAATCATTTGACACGTGAAATTTATGTCGACAAAGGAAATGGCTTGTAGGTAAGTGATGGAGAACTTCTGTCTTTTGAAAGGTTTCCTGTTCTCTTTCCCTGTATTCACCACAACACTGGGCTGCAAAACACACCAATGAGAATTAGCAATTACTCCCCAGTGAAAGCTTATCAACCAAGCGGCCTTTTAGAAATGAATGGGCTAAGGTGAGACTGACAGGGTGCTCACCCTGAAAGTGGAGGAGCAACAAAATCTAGGTGATGCAGGAAAGTGGTTTAAATTTCCCTTACAATGCCAATTCGTTGTGCTATTTACTTTGAGGAACTGACCTGTAGAGCTGGTGGTAGAGATATCCATGTTCCTTGCCAGAGAATACTGTGTAAAAAACAACAGCCACACTTGTAAAGAATAGTTGTTGGCAGTTTATTTACAACAAAACACGAGGAAAAATACAATATTAAAAATAATAAATAACTTGGAAAAGTCAGAAACTAAGTGAAATGGATGAAAAATATGACAATCAAATTCTCCTGCTTAGCCTTGCATTATTTAACATGCAGAGCAATTCGAGACTTGGTCCTTCTCTGATGTAGCAATGTATTGCCTAATGTAGCTATCATAGTTCTAAATAAAAGAAATTAATTACGAGACATTCAAAGTCACAGGGAATTACCACAGAAATGAAATAAAACAATGAAACTTCTTAAAGTGACACCATAAGACTACAGGAGATTGTAATTCAATGATCATGCTGTTCATTTTTAAAGCAAAACATTGTTAGACTTACTTAGCAATTTTAACTTACACATATAAAACCAAGTCCAAACAATGGAAACAGAAAAGCTCCTATCGATAAAATCATGAATTCTCTCTTACTGTGCTCACTATTGAAAAGCACACTCGTTTGGCATATTTCAAATGCTAACACATTGTTCTGAAGTTACAGTGCAGCAAGCTTCAAAGCAGATTTAACAAATTTAGCAGTCTTGTTACAAAATAAAAGTCAAGGAACAAACATTTCTGTTTCCAATTCTCTACAGCAGCAATTAATGCAAATTGGCTACTAGATGTGACAAAATTACCTTCCAGAATAATCAAAAAAGCCAAAGAATAAGGTCAAATATTTTCTTTCCACAGGATTTATCCAGTCATTTACAACTACATTCATAAGAAATCCCATTCAGCATGTTTCAGGAATGTGCTGCTCCTCATCGTCTTTACAGGTATCTCCTTTTTGAATTTATTAGGAGACCTACTGTTCTAAAGACCACAACGAACTGTTATTTTAATTGCTCTCTGTGAAATATGAGCAAAGCTGGGAGAAGGCTTTAATAGAAACCCAAACAAACTAATCACATTATTTGCTCTGGACTGTATTGTCCTTACTAAAAACTTCCTTCCTAGCAGAGCTGTATCGTGTAATTCTTTGCCCTGGCAGAGAATAGGAACACAGCTACTGTGCCTCTTCAGCTTTGCTGGGTGCCAACACACTCTTAAGAACGTATTCACCAACCACGTGATTTATTGTTGCGAAAGAAGTGGTAACACCTGCAAAATACCTTTTTTCTCCTCATATAAAATGTTTGAAAATACAAGAGAAAGCACTGCGACAAAATCAGTAATGGAAACAACCTCTTTGCCAAATGATGTTACTGAAATATTCTGACCTTCCTTTCCATTTAATTTTTTTGTGATTTTGTGTTTGCTGGGAATATTTGCAGGGAAAACGTTATCCTATATAAAAACGTAAAAAAACAACAACAACCACACACAGGAAAAGAGATGATATTTAAAATTCTTCTGGGCAAACTGGTTAATTGCTGGCTGATGGGGAAAACAAAGCGGAACACAGCAGAGGTTACAAGCACAGGCAATGGGAAGCCTGGGATATTTCTTACCCAAAGCGATGAGACACTACATCTTTTTATTTGCCTTCATTAGCGAGCAAAAAGGAGGCAATGTGGATAATCATGAACCTCATTCTGGCCAGCAGTGAACTCAGGCTGTTTGGTCAGTAAATCTGGCACTCCTCTAGAGCAGTACTGCGTGGTAGTAGAGCTATGGCAGCAGCGCATGCAGGTGGAGGCACAGCATTAAGCGGTCTGGCATTTTGTCCATAACATGATCAGCATCTTTCTCCTACAGTATTTATCATGCAGCTAGTAAGTTGTGTCCTATTCAGGCATGTTAGTAATCATCATACATGTCTCATCTCCAAATCTTATATGACATGATAATCTCCATATCCACACGGCATGAGAAACGAATCAGTTAAATACAAGTAAAGATATGACTGCTTTGGTCTAATAATCTGCGTCAAACCCAGACACCAAAACTCATATAGAAACAGTAACACATAAGCACAAGGAAGTGATGACTAGAGCTGGGCAATTTCTTCTTGGGCAAACAACAAATTCTTTAAAAAATAAGACTATCAATAGGCAGAGGTGACCTAAACTATTTTGATATCTTAAATTTAGGAAATCAAGACCAATAATCAATGCTTTATCTTTTCAAGAGTTTCCCTTCTCAGCCAATGTTTCAATCATGCTACTAAATTTAAAAAAAAAAAAAAAAAAAAAAGATTAGACCAGTTATAGTCATTATTATTATTTTTCACAATTTTAAGATGAAATCATTTACTAACGAAGGAAAGTTTTGTTTGCAGCATCACAGTAGCTTTTTTCAAACAAAAAATTATCACCTGTTAGTTTACTAACTACACAGAATTACAACCTCTGGGAAACACAACGTAAAACATGGACAGTAAGTGGGAAAATACATGAAGTCAGATCATAGCTAACCTACAAAGAGCTTCTAGATTTTGCTAGCTACAGGGTTTAAACTATCAAACAAATATACACTTGTTTTCAGTGCAGGTTGACAGCAGAATCACCTTCCCTGCTCTACAACTACTCTAGAAATACCACACATTCAACATAACTTCTATTGGATCTACAGCCATTGAGAAGTTCAGTGCATTTAAGCCAGTCAAATCATAGCATTGTGCAGAGAAGATGGCACAAACTTCCTGTAGAGGTAAAAGGCCATCCCCAAACTGATTGTTCAATATTCAGTGATAGTTCAGCTCTGGAGGACTTTTTTGCATCCATGTACATCACCACCAGTGGTACAAAACACTACTCACTTTAATCATATGATTCAGGTAATAGCTATCATTACTGGGAATAGAACACCAGCCTATTTAATGCCTACTACAGCTACCAATTGAAATAGATACTGACAACATTAATTAAATAGCAATTAGTCTGAAAGAGAACAAAGTACCCCAAACGGGGGGCCGGAAGGAAGGTTTCTCACTGAGTTTACTTTTTGATAAAAAATGAAGGAAGAGAACACTTCTGAAATTCATTTCTCTTCCCCCTACAATCTACACTTCCATTCTGGGAAGCATCCTTTCTGTATTTTAATTCCTGAGATTGAAGAGTGATTTCACGTGCAGACCAGGAGGAGCACTGCTGTTTCCTTAATGCCATCCTATGTGGGACTGAGAAGCCCCAAGATTCATTTGCTTTTTCAAGTGACTGATTTTATTCACCCCTTCCCTAGAGACAGTGGTAAAGCCTAGAGCCAGCTTACTGACAGTAGAGATTGTGCTGTTTAGGAAAGATGAGAGGCAGGAAAGAAAAAAGAGTCTCATATTTTCTTTCCTTTACATTCAAGGTCTCACAGGGTAACTACCACTCTTCTTCCAGAGCAGACAAGACAGAATTCATTGGTTTTCTTTCTCAACTGGCTCGATTTAGCTGCTTTTTTCCCCCAATCTTGTACATAGAACACCATTGACGAACACCAATATGAACTTAAGTTTTATCACAAAAGGACAGGGGAGAGCTATTAAAATACATTATCTACAAGAAATAGGTGGTTTCTTTTACAAATTCTGTGCAAGATAGAAATACTTAAATGGCCTCAAAGTCAGTATAATTAATTACAGTTGGGGCTTCATACAGTGATATTTTAGATTTGAAAAGTTTCATTTTTTTAGCTACGCCCCAAATCCTGAGTCATATTAAGCACGATATGATTCTGAGTGATTGTTATTGGTGTTCAAGTACAATGAGTGTAGGTCAAGGTTTATGAGTACACACAGGAAGCCTGAGAACAGGAAGGATTTTAAAATCAGTTAAAAAAAGAAGAAAAAGGGAGCTTTTTTCCTGTTAACCCTGCATTCTGGTTGGCACAGATTTGCCTCAGAAGTCCTTGGCAGCTTTACTAAATACCTATTCCTAAATATAAATGCTATGACCTAGATGTGGATTTGTACATAGAGATACTGCTAGAGAAAGATTTTCTTTTATAGAGTTCCCCTCAGACGACTTCATCGTATGTCAGTAAGATGTACCATATGGCTTGGAACACTACTTTAGATATATAAACTATGTTCTCTTGCATGCACTTCTCTGAAGATTATGAGGATCAAGTCTGAGGAAAGAAACAGTCTTTCCACAACAGTAAAATTATTTTAAGCAAAAATATCCAAACATCAACAACCAACCAACCACCATGATCTTCCTAGAAACTACAATATGTTACTCTTGCTGTGGTAGCCATGGCTTATCAGGAGGAATCATGCTGGGTTAATTTAATTTTTCTTTTTCTCTGGATCTGGAAGAGTGAGGGTTTCTGGTGCAGACTTTTTCCGAGGCCGGTCTTTGGGTACTGTTAGGAAGTCAGGAGCATCTGTAGAGAGAGGAGTTGATGGAGCACTAGATGGAGCACTGCGGGTTGAAGAAGGCATGGAAATGTTAGAGATAGATATTTCAGGTGGGAAAATGCCAATTTTCTTGTTGGTAGCTTCCTGAGTTGCTCGTTCAAACTCTCGGACTTCATCCATCGTCATGTCTTCAACAAGAAGGAAAACAAGATAAAGGGCATGTTAGAATCATTCTGAATGATGATTTCATTAACTCAGTTAAACCACCTCAATCCAAATTTTACATCAGAGAATGTCTGCTTATCAGTCATATCACGAAACGTCTTGTAAGCATTCCTTCCTATTTTAATGCATTGATTGGAGTACAATAAATGGACACTGTAAAATAAAAGAAGCTAAGCACATTAAGCACGTGTTAATAGGTCTGTCTGCATCTGGGTCTAAACTGAACTAAGAGAACTACCTCTTTAATTGCTGGAAAAATCAAGATATTTCACAGGCAATTAAAAATACATTTGGATGCAGACTCAGCAGGTAGAATTCTTCAGAACTACAAACAAAACTGATGATATTTTTCTTTTTTTTTTTCATCTAGATTATGAGCATGAACTGATAAAAGGGTTTGCTTCCTCCCTGTCATTATCAAGGGATGAAAA